CACACACACACACACACACACACACACACACACACACACACACACACTAGTGTTATTAGCTAGGGTTCTCCAGGGAAACAGTTAACAGGGAAATAGAGTCAACAAGCTGTTTCCTTAGAGAGCCCTAATACACTGTTCAACAAGGCTACTGAGAAAATTAAATAAAAAATAAAAGTCCACAGCTTTCCCCATACCTGAAATATGAACCAGTGCTAAATAAATGGTCGTAGTTCTTCACTGAAGACTACAGGAACAATATGAAACTGCTTCTTGAAGGCCAGATAAATTCCTTAGTTGAAACTCACATGAAGACATTCCAAAAATTCTGGAAAATCTATCTTCCTTTATCCTTTCTCATTTCCCATACATGGCATTTGAAAATAAAGCTTCATTTCTACAATGTTTAAGAGACAGATATTCTACACACAAAGCTCACCTGTTTGAACACCTGCATTGAAGCTCTTTGTGAATTAAACTGGACTCCCAAGGTGTTTATGAGTTGATCCATGCCTGGAAAAGATATAAGGGGAAAATAGCTTTTAGAACAATATTGATCCCATTATAGGCATAGAGTATGACATGTACACTTGGTTTCACCTGTGTGTCCTCTACAACAGTTTTTCAGACTAATTTTATTCTAAAAAGTCATTAAAACATTCTAAATTAATCTACTCATAGAAAAGATCATTACGTGTCCCCAACACTAGCTGCCAAATTCCTATATATAAGTATTTCTTTCATGTAATTGAATCCATTTCTTACAGCCTCTAAAACATGTCCTATTTTAGTGATTATCAACATAGTTCTATAATTTCAAAAAAAATCCATTCCTGGTCCAGTTCTTGTTTTGGCTAAGGAATTTGGGACTACTATATGAGTTTTTACCCAAGTAATATATGTACAAATCTAAACCAACAGACCAAGCATGGTTAAAAGCAGTTTTCATCTTCCTCTATCAATAGCTGTCCATCTTATGAAGAGATGGTTAATAGCTTCAGTCAAATACCTTGAACCATCAGTCATCCCACAAACAGTACCTACGCTTTCCTCTGCAAAAGATTTTGTTTGATTTATCTACAGTTCAATTTCACTAGAGAGGAAAACAGACAAAAAAAGTAAAATGTACAGTTTGCCTACAAATTAGTTAGTCAGATTTCAGATGACACACGTGCTTCACATGTCTTCATCTGTAGGAACTGAAGACCAGACAGTAGGTGACTTGTAATTTGTCCTTACTAGAAATAGAGACCACTCAAGTACACTCTGACTGCAAAGAAAAAAAAAAAAAAACAAATTCTTCAATACTCCTACAGGTTTTCTGGGCAGCAACCAATCATGCTCTTCTAGCTATTCAGTGGTCTCCTTCTGGATTATAAGAGAATTATCTAACCTAAAACTTTTCCTGCCATCACACCTCTTTTCCCAATTTAGGAATTGGAAAACTCTTAGCTCTCACTTCATGTTATTGGCACCACTTGAGTGTTTCATACATAACCTCTTCAATTTTATTTCACACTTTCCTACATTTTCTCAAGTCTTGCTCTTAATAAAAAAAAAAAAGTGCCCTCCCCCTTCCTTCTTTACTCGCTTTTTCTTCTGTAAGAGTAAGACCAGTGTTTTTACACTATGGCCTAGAATACCCTGGAACTCACTGCAGCTTAGCCTGGTTTCAAACACAAGCAATCCTCTTGCCTTACCCTCCCAATTGCAGGGATTGCAAACATAAAATACCACATCTGACTCCTTGCTTCTTTTTTGTCATTATCGTGATAAATATTCAGAACTTTGTTGAACATCTATCATAATTTCAGGCAATGTTCTTGGGCCTTAGAATACATCCAAGGGAGTGTGTTAAGTGCTTAAATTCTGTTAGAAGGTGAAGTTCTCCGATATCTGACCCTAACTGTTCTTATTTCTTAGTATGTATTTTCCTCTACAGCTCTAACTGTGGGTAGCTCTAGAGAAGCACTGGGACTATGCAAATGATAATGGAAAATCCTATAATTCTAGATGGACAAGTCATTTTGGACAAGGAAAAACACTTTTTCAAGTTATAAAATGTGATTCATGGGCATCTATTCTAAGATCAATACCCTCTGCTGCATATTCTTTGTACCTGTATGCTTGACTCACCTAGAGTCCAAACTGGTAGTATTATGTCTAGCAGAGTCTCTGACCTTTCAAATGAAATTGAAGACAACAGTTTCAACTGTCAAAGTTCTCTAAATTTTGATAGTGGCACAGAAGTCTTCCTTTTATTCCCCAAAGAAGTGTCCTTGTGTATTACTGCTTTTCAACTAGGAATGGTTTCCTCATTTGCTGACATTCAATAGACAAAATAATTCATTTTAAATTCATTGTTTACTTTTTTTGTTGATGTATCTTGGGTCCAAATATGAAAACCACCCTCTTCCTAATGCATTTTTTGACGGGCTCACTATGTTGTTGCCCAGGTAAGCCTGGAACTCATAACTATGACCCCTGCCATGCCACCATTACCAGATCAAAACTTTGTAATAGTAACAACTTGGGATTTCTGAGCTCCTTGTGATAACATTAATAGCACCAGCCCATTGATTATTGTAGGATTTCTTAAATAAGTGTACAAGTGTTTACCAATATTCTCTTCCCTTTTTCCTATTTCCTATTTAAGCTCCTCTCTGTATTCCTACCATTTAGCAGAGTATCATGACCAGTGAATGAATGAATGAATGCCCACTGGACTGCAGATAGAGACATATAGAACCACATCTTTAACTCTTAAAAGCCAAACCCACTTTTGGAAGTTCTGATGCCAATGTTTAAAAAGCCAGTAAACTATCTCTTACCCTATTTATATTACACATTTTTTAGTTAAATGGCATAAAGGGGATATCTGACAATCGAAAATGCCTCAACTGGGCCATGCATGGTGGTACATACTTTTAATCCCAACACTCAGGAGGAAGAAGGAAGAAGGCAGATCTCTATGAGTTTGAGGATAGCCTAGTCTACATAGAAAGTTCTGAGTGAGTCAGGGCTACACAATGAGATCATGTTCACTGGGACCAATGATCACTGGTACAGGCTTAGTAAGGACCTAGTTCCTTAAGAGCATAGAGCAATTGGATAATGGAAATAATATCTCATATGCATCTACATAGCATTACAATAGGTGAAGGGACAATTTTCATATAATTTCCATTTCATTTCACAGATAATTAATTGGGAGGCCCTAGTCTGTAGAGTTTAGAAGTATTAGAATCAGTGGAAAGTTTTATCCTCTGAGTCAAATTACAATACTCCTTGTCACTTTATGGCACCCTGAATCTGATGAATACCTTCTTTATTAAAAAAAAGCTCCTAAAAGAACAATTTGGATAACAGTCTAATTGTCAAGGAGAATCTTGCGCATATATCATTTCCTTTTACTTGCTGACAAATATGATATTCTGGAACTAGTAAAAATGAAAAAGCACTCCTTTAGAATTTTGAGAGTTCAGATTTTTAAAGTATTCCCCGTATTTTTATTACCAGAAAAATAATTAAAGCACACCTACATTTCCCACATTGTTTTATTATATGTCTTGTACCAAAATAGTCATGTTAGTGCTGGGAAAGGGGTTTAGGAAATCATTCAGTCTCACCATTTAACTATAGCATGGAGCTAAAGAAGTGATGAGAAAGGGATGCAGAACAGTCATTAACAGTATTTGCTAAATGCTGGGTTCTACTTCTTGTTTGTTTGCTCTTTTTTTTTTCTTTTGTTTGTTTGCTTTTTGAAGAGTTGCAGTGCTGATTATAGAACTCAGGGCCTTACCCATGCCAGGCAAATACTATCCCACTGAGCTATAACCTTAACTATGGCACTCTTATTGTGTTGAAAGAATAAATATAAGATTGGCTCATCTAATCCTCGAGACCATAAAGTAAGTAGTATTGTTTCCTTTATTTACTTAATGCTGAGGTCTCCCATAGCCACCATCTTAAAAATAAGAAAATTTTCAGAGTGAGATGTAGTAGGTACTCTCCCAGATCATCGAAGTAGAAAATGGCCAAAGGAGAATCTGAACATTTGTAGCCTGAAGATACAACGATAGTGTGGTTATAATATATTTAAACATAGATGCCAGGTCTCCTCCAATTTCTTCTTGAAGCAAAAGCTACCACACTAAAGGGAAACAATCTACCCAGCAAAAGAAGTTTTCAAGACCTTCCAGTTTCTCCCATTTCTTCTATACAGGTTCACATGAGAAAATCCAACTTAAACAATCAAACAAACAATATACACAAAACCCAGAATGCCTCTGAGGTACCTAATCCAGCCACCACAGTGGATACTCAGAAGCAACCTGAACATGGAAACCCCTGGAGTCTGCCTTCCCAGATTATATGGAATGACAGAAAAGAAAGTGACTGCCAAGTGGGAAGGTAAATAGAACAAAAATTCAAGAGGAGATGTGTCATACAAAATTAGTAAAAGTTGACACCATATACCATAGATATACATGTTAGTGTGAGAAAATGAAATTGAATATTACACTATTAACATATGCCAGCCACCCAAGTTTCAAGTAGTGAAGCTCTGTGAAGAAATGAAGACACAAAGTGGTAAAATATACCAGAGAAGAGCTTTGTGAGTTTGGGAGAATCATTGATGCTTTCTAATCCTGGATTTTCCTGTGTGTAAAATACAGATAAGTGAGTTTAACCTTGTCCCTCATATGGTTGTCAAGAAGATAACACATGTTATTTGCATGATGCAATTATAAAATCTCCATGTAAGTTTTAAGAATTACTTCTTTAATTTGTGTACTTCTGTCAGAATATCATGAAAGGTACAAAAGTATAGTCACATTGTAAAGATCCAATGCATTTAGCATGACACCTATCTTATTATTTTTTATCACTTTATCTTAACAGTCCTGGAGGATCACATTCTACCTGTACACTCCCTAGCCATGCAGGTAGCACAGAGCATAGCCTAATAGCGTTTTCATCCATTTTGTCCTCTCAGATGATGATTTCAAGCCTCATTTTCTTTTATACATGAAAAAACAGGTGCTACTGTTGATGCTATATACACTCAAGAAAATAAAGGATCAGAGAGATTAAGCAATGCTAAAGCCATGTAAAATGGAAATGTTGAGCCACGATCTGAATCCAGGTTCAGAAGCTCTTTTCTACCTAAAAATACTTGAATGCTTCTTCTAAACCTGACGTGGTTATTATACTCACGAACTACCAGAAACCATGGTTACCTTCACAAGACCTGCAAAAGTCCAGCATGAATGGCAAAGCCCACAAGGCTCCGCCTCTAGTTAAGAACCTTTAGGCATGTGGCCATTAGTTAGGTTGCATATGTTCCCTCCAGTAGATGGCTCCACATCCATGCACAAATAGGTAAGTAGCACTAAATAGTCTTCGTAGTTTACTAAAATAAAAGCAAAAAAGGAGAAATAAAATGAAGTCGGGAAGGGAACAATTGAAGGAAAGTTGGAATGGGGGAAATGAGAGGTAGGTATGATACT